GTTTGGTTGGTCATTAGACAATAGATGCTAATTTGCGTTGACAAAGGGTTTAGTTCTTAAAAGTTGCCGAGAATGGGCGGAAATTGCTGTCACATAAAGATGCACTAAGACCTAGCAGAAACAGATGTTCCTTTCTTGCAACACAAAGAAGGGATCCCTGGTTAAGAGGGCGGTGGTCTTATTCAAGACCTGTCCCTGTCGTCACAAGTGTAGGATTTTTGATGCTATAAAAGAAGTTAGGCAGCTGTAAGTTACTTAATCGAAGCTTGCCTTCCACGGGTATTGTTCTAGATGAAAAGAAAACTAGAATTGGTTGATGAAGAGAGTGGAAATGAAGAGAGCGTTCTGGTAGTGAACGCGAGTATGAGGAGCCAACAATTTTGAGTAATATTTCCAACTCGGTGTTTATAGAGCCTGCTTCTGATTTTTTACATGAATAGAATCAGTTCTAGCATGGCCGCTTCCTGAGATATTCTGTTCTGGACTCCCCGCGGATAACTATTTCGCGATAAACGCATAAATTCAGTAAAAAAAAAAATAATAATAATAATAAAAAAAAAATATATATATATATATATATATATATATCAGCAAGTCCACAGCGAAAAACCGGTGATTGGTGCCGGATCTCCCAGTTGTAGACGTGGATGAGTACAATAATAACTTGGAGACAATACCTTGAATAATAAGAGACTGTCCCATTAGTTAACACGAAATTTACGACAAAACATAGCGAATTGTTGCCCTCGTTTTACTGCCTTACAAGATATCAGTAATCTTAATCCACGATCTTTCACGCACGTTTTTAAAAAGGTCGAAACTACTATGAGGCGAAATTGCATTTCAAAATCGCTTCGATTTCTACAGATAACGGCCGAACATCAAGATTGTCCAGCTTTTATTGTATTTCTAACCGTAAAAACACTTGACTTTTCGAGGATTTTTGCTAATTTAGGCATTATTTAAGTTCAAGACGGTACTTCTCGTCTCTGCTTCTTCTTGTTTTTCTTTATCTTACTTGTAAACAGTTTCTTCGAAAAGGTTTTCAACGTCTTCCCTTGCTCAAAGAAGAATAATGGCATAAACATTTTGCAAAACAGCGAGTCTCTTGTAGCGATGACACACGATTGAGGTTTCTTGCAGTTTAGGCATTCTCAATTTTCTGCAATGCTGTTGATTAGAGCGATGTTGGTATGACCTTGAAATGAAAACGCGCGAGCAAAATGGAAACAACAAACGAACGGAAATAAAAGCGATTTGATTGGTTTATCGAACGGACACAAACGCGCGTGGCTTTTGGTAGGTTAAGCGAACGCTCAGGTGAAATAACTTCATGCCCGAAAACTTCCTAGAAATCAATCGATACTTCCCTTTGACGTCATACTGCAACACGATTGGTCAATCGAACAATGCCTTCTCCAAATTAGGGTTTTCTATGGCGGGAAAACGAAGAGTCCATGTTTTGATCTTTTCATCCATTGGCTCATAAAACAAATAACGAACACTTACTGAAACCATTTTTCAAGGTCATACGAAAATCGTTGTAATAAACTATCTATCTATCTGCCTTTCGATACTAGGCAAAAGCCACATGCAACGTAATGAGTGCATCTTGAGGCAAAGGTGTTGTGAATTCCTCCTGAGGAGATTCTAAATACTGGGAAACTTGTTTTAATTAGTTTTGTTTTTCGGCCTTTTAATGGGAAGGTTTCCACCCTCCAATAGCTTCCAATGCTCTAATATGAACTTGATGCTTTAAAATTCTTAAAAATTGTGCTTTGAGTTTTTGGTTTCTTTGGATTTAGCAAATGGACGATAAAAAGCCAAGTTAACAGCCTCAAGACGTTGCATGCGGCTTCAGATTTTAGAGAAAGTTAAAGAATTTTTCTGCTACATAATGTCTTCCAAGGCTGCTCTACATCTCAGGTGTCTGGTTCCTTTGTCTCATTTTTACAACGATGGCGTCTTGTAGGCTCTTTTTCGCTAAAACTTGTTAATTTCTTAGGTCTGTATACCTCCCATTTTCTTAGTTCTTCATTCACTTAATTCATGGCGACTTCTCTTTAGATGTACGCTTAAAGTGATGACCAAAAATGACTTTCTTGTTAGTCCAGGTTGCTTTTGTCAACTTGGCCGCTTTGCAAATCCTCATGTGGCTTGTCAGTCGGGTAGTCCGTTTGCATGAACAGACAAGACATGCGAACAACTTCGTAAACGTTAAAAGCCTTGCAAGAGGGAAACCGTCTGCTTGCAGCTTAATTTGATCCTTGTATGCACAAACGAATACATATTAAAAGTATTATTCGTACACAACTCGCAGGGCTTGAAGTATTTTCACAGAATTTCCAGACGGTTCTGACCTCTATTTTCCCTGTGTTCGTCTTCCTCTGAATGACTTAAGGTAAGACAAATTTTTAAATACAGTTTTTTATCCATCGATAATTTTATGGTTGAAGGGTGAATTTGT